GATCGGCTCAAATGCAGGTAAGGAGGGCGGGCAGGCGGGCCCTCCGGAGCACCGTACTGGGAAGGTACCCGGTGCTCCCAGCTAGCCGGGGCATACCAGTCGTATCCCACCACTGACGCACATGCATGCGTGTTCTGGTTTGGGCACTTGATGCTGAAAAGATTTGCCATCCCTCCCCTACACTAACAGAAACGCAACTGAACATTGAAAATAGATCTAGATACAGTTCAGAAACAGTTTCTGTATGGACTAGACCCAGGCAAGTACAACAAACATTTACAGTCCACAGTCTTTTATTCCAAAACTTTAGATTACTGCAGTGTGCTCTATACAAGGCTGCCCTTGAAGACTACTTGGAAGCTAATGCTAGTCCTGAACATAGCAGTGCAAGTAGATATAGGTGTGTCTCAATGCACCCATGTAACACCAAAATTGTGTGAACTTCACTGATTGCCAATATATTTCCAGGTGCAATTCAAGATGCCATCACTTCCTATATAGCCCAGAGCTGAATATTTGAGGGACTGCAAGGATTTCTGCCTGCCATACAAGATGCAACAGCACTGGCCAGGTCCTACCAATTAAATGGTACATCATCTGATCGTATCCAGAAGGCACTTTTCCAGTCCCTGCGCTAAGAAAAAGTCCCTCTCTGATGTCTTGATTCTTCCAGCTTTTAACAAAGCCTCAAATACTTGATTCTTGCCCCAGGCACTGGGTCAGGTGAACATATAAGCTCACTATAAATGTAAGCGTTTGAGAATCATGCTTTGTCACAAATAACATCTATTTTATTTTTCAAGTGTTGCTTTCGTGCTGCGATATTTTTAACACTGTTAAGTTCCCCAGAGCTGTTAGACCACCATACAAGTTAAAATAAGCAAATTAAGTAACTAAGAAAGTAAGCAGAGACAGGAGGAAAACACATCCATGGGAGTATGTGGATGGACGCTCAATGAAATAAAACAATAAATTAACCAACAGAAAAAAGAAAACTGGGATAAAAGCTGCCTTTGGCTTGGTATTTTTCAGATGCACTGGACAACAGTGACAGTATTTACAATATCTAATCAGGGTTGGTCATCAGGACCAGAGGTTTATTCTTCTGAGCTTTCAGACTTGTTCTGGAGCCCATCGTCAGAGAACATTCTCTCAACTGGAATATGTGCTTTGGGCTGCTCTATATGCTATATTTATGTGGTGCCTTCCTATTGGTTGATTGGTGTGTTGCTGGCCAGCGATTGTACTTACAACGCAGAAAGGGAGTGCTGAGAGGCATAGTCTCAAAATCACTAGAGAAGGATATACTAAATAGTGGGCTGGATCTTCATAAACAACATTCATGAAGATATTTAGAATATGGAATAACAGAGTTGGAAGGTCTTCTAGTCCAACCCCCGGCCCAAGCAGGAGATTCTACATCATTCTGGACAAATCTCTTCTTCAAAACCTCCCTTGTTGGAGTACTTCTGAAGGCAAGCTCTACCGCTGATTGTGTCAGCCATGGAAGCCATCTTTTTCTTTGGAGCTTCTGGGCTGCCACATTTAGTACCTGAGAAACCAGGAGGGGGGATTTCAAGGAATCGGTGGAGAATTAGCCATAACAACATTCCTTTATCTGGGAACCAATGACAATTAGCTTGCACCTGGATGGGAGTGCCTAAGGGTTTGTCTCCAGTTGGGAAAGTGAATTGATTGGATCATGTGATGGACATGTGGGCGCAAAGGATGGAACTTTGACTTTCTTTTGGGTGGGGAAACCCTGGAAACTTTCAGGTTCGGGTTTTCCCAGTTGTGCCAATATGACTTCTCTAATAAAATGGAACTTTGAGGAATTGCTTGCCTTGGAGTATTCGTTTGTTGGGGTTCTTACTTGGAATGCTGACAGATTGATTGTTCTCATTGTCAGGAAATTTCTCCTTATTTCTAAGCTGGTTCTCTCTTTGATAAGTTTCCATCCAGTGCCGGGTAGATAGATTACTGGATAGGTTCACAGATAAGTGGAAGAAGATATATTGCTGGGATTTATTTATTTATTTTTCATTCATTCATGGATTTATATGACTGCCAGTCTCAACAAGTGGTTCTGGCAAGTGAACAAAATTAAATAAAAATAATAATAAACATTATAAAAATTAAAATACACAGCAGCCAAGAAACATCATAGCCCAAACTCCTAATATAACCAAAAAACTCTCCCCTGCACATGCTCAGGGACTCAGGTTTGGGCACAGAATCAAGTCTTAAAGCTTTAGAAAAGTCCAGCAGAGTCAAAGCCATCCTCATTTCCAGAGGGAGGATGTTTCGTAAGGTAGGCACTATAGCGGAAAGGGCACAAAGCAGGACGTTCTTGACTTGCGATCTTAACAGATCTTACCCGTTATTGTTGTAAGTCATGACAGTCATAAAGTGGATCACCACATGACTACCCCAGTTTTATGACCCTTTTCCCAGCAGTCATTAAGCAAATGCAGCAGTTGTTAAATGAACCCACTGTTTGCTAAGGGGCATTTTTGCAAAAAAAACAAACCCTAAAGTAAATGCCAATTTTCAGCAAAAAAATTAAAATTATGGTTACATAACTGCCAGACACTGCAAAAAAGTCATAAATGTGAGCCAATTGCTGACTGACTAAAATGCAGTCCCAAGATTGGAGGGAGCACTGGCCTTCAAAATTTTGGAACTGGGCCATAAATACCTTTTGGGAGGGATCTGGAACAGTTTCTAAGCAACCAGTCATAATCGAGCACTACTAACTTTATATTTATATTGTGCTACTTTTAATTGTTATAATGTCAGGGTTCCAAGTAACACCTCTAACGAGAGAAGACTGAGGGATTGTGTTTCCTTGAAGTTCCATTTTATTAGAGATGGCATATTGGCACATCTGGGAAAACCCAAATCTGAAAGTTTCCAGGTTTTCCCCACCCAAAAGGAAATTAAAAGTCCCTGCCCAGTACCCATATGTCCATTACATGATCCAATCAGGCACCATCCACAACTGGAGATGCCTCTCAGTTATCTCATCAGAGCTGCAGGGCAAGGTGGCCTTGACTCTCTGAGAAAGAATGTTATTTTGACTATATATCACCCACACTCTTTATAACCCCCCCCCCATTTTCCCACAGTAGAAAATGTGGCAGGCCTGAACTCCCACAGGTAAAAAATGGTTTCCAGGCCTGACATATAAGCTGCCCTGAGTGTTTGTGTAACATGCACCTATATATATTCAGGCCTGCATAAGTGCGTAAATACATGCATTCAAATTGCTTTTTTCAATCCTGCCATGAGGTAAGCCGTGTTTCTACTATAAGCATTTCATTACCAAGTATTGCTCATCCACAAATAGCTTCTTCCCTTTAACTCCTTTGAAGAGTTCAGTAGGAAACCCAGTTCTTTCATCCATCACGTATTCAAAAATGTTATTTTTCCTGTGAAGGCAAACAATACCATTTACAAAGTGAACCTCTGGTGCAGGTCCTTTTTTCATAGCAAATCAGATTCAGAAAAACTGGGTGTCGGGAAGAATAAGGTCAATTGCTTGCTGAAGCCTCTAATATAGATCAACAATGAGGCAGGCCTATGATTATGTTGTATTATGTGAAAAATGGATTAAATAAAAAGTGAAACCCCAGCATTGCTTCTAAAATTATGGTTAATGGTGGCTCTGAAACACAAGCCAATGCCATAATCTACTCTTGTACTGCCAAGTTAAGCGACAAGCAAGAGATTGAAGCCCAATTTAATTATTATAATTAGTTTTGACATGAATTGGAGATCTTCCATTTGTATAGGTTCCAGAAAATTCCAAATGGTCACACTGAAATTCTTCCTTAGAGGAACGACAGTTTAAATTATGGGAGTATTCATCAACATCTCAAATAACTTCATACATGAGAAACAAGCCTTATGTTTTAATCTAACCTAGATATTGTTCATGGAGTACAATTTTATGCAGTTTACTGTCAGATTCAAGACTTGAGCCCACTTAGAGTAAAGGTTAACTTATGATATGATTATGATACAATTTATAGACATTGAAATCTAAAATATCTCACAAGTAATCTATTGTTTCATTGTAATAACAGTTCAGTGTAACAGTTTTGAAAGTGGTAAAACCTACAACTGTTATGAAACCATCTTTATTTTATCCTACTTGACATGTAAGAATAAAAGTAAGATGTTTCTTCCAATGGAATGGTCCCCCCACTTCTTTTAATTTTACTTCATTTTGCTGTAGAAACATTTCTAAATTGTGCCTATAATTTGTAATTTGCAATAAGCCATGGTGGCACAATGGTTAGAGTGCAGTACTGCAGGCTACTTCTGTTGACTGCCGACTGACTTGTAATTTGGCAGTTTGAATCTCACCAGGCTCAAGGTTGACTCAGCCTTCCATCCTTCCAAGGTGGGTAAAATGAGGACCCAGATTGTTGGGGGTAATAGGCTGACTCCATAAACCACTTAGAGAGGGCTGTAAAGCACTGTGAAGCAGTATATAAGTCTAAGGGCTATTACTATTGCTATAATCTGGCAATACTTGCCATTCAACTTGCATCTCAATGTATGTCAGCAACTTTCCTGTTCCTGCACAGTCTGTACAAGCAGTTGTCCCCAGGCCAGAACAGACATTGCACCTATAAAGGAAATGAGACAATAAGACATTTTCAGACAGTGGAAATAACAGTATGATTCATGCAGCAGTTAGGATGGAGAAATCTAACAAGAATAAATCTTTGAAGTTCTTAACAGCTTGGCTTAAAACCCACCAGCACTTCCTTAAAGAAACATCAAGTTTATTTCTTTTTGATGTAGTTTCATCCCATCTTCTTCTATAGTAATTTCCTTAACTAGGCCACCACAGGGAGTTAATTTCTCTTTCCATCTTTTCCTGCCAATCTCAGATTCCCCCCCCCCTCCCTTCTAATTTCTAGATTCTAAGGGGAATCACTGAACCAAAAAAGCTGCTTTTAAAGAGGCAGAAAGAACCTTGTACAGAATTCTTGTGAGGAACACTAATTGTTTTGCATTTAAATTTCCCCCAAAAAATGCACCAGAAATAGCAGGAAAAGGATACGCCTGTTCAATTTCAGGATGTTTTCCTCAGGATACTCTTCTCTCAGATGGCCTACAATTAATATTCTACGTGGGACTAGGTCAAAACGACTCATTAAATGACTCTATCCCAAAAGCTGCATACAATTTCTCAGCAGTTTTGGCAAAAGCCAGGATGCTTTGAGCTTGGGTTGTTCAACCTGCAAAAGGTCTAATGCTACAAGATGGCTATTGAATCTTCTCTGTCTCAAAATTTTCACCGAATTTCTGAAGTCACTTTCCGAATAAGGAAGATGATCCTTGCACAGACTGGGATGCTGAGATGTACATGTGGAATGTGCAGGTATGTGTGGATGGGGCAAAGGGACATTATTGGTTAGATCAATAATTACATTTATTTAACAGGTTAACAGAGTTGGAAGGGACCTTGTAGGTAATCTAGTCCAACCCCCCACCCAAGCAGGAGGCCCTCCATCATTTCTGGCAAATGGCAGTCCAATCTTTTCTTGAAAGCCTCAAGAAGAGCAAAGTGTTCCATTGGTTGAGTGTTCTGTCAGAAAAATTCTCCTTAATTCCAGTTTGAATCTTTCCGTGTTCAGTTTCCATTCTTGTCTGGCCTTAGCGCTTTGGAAAATACCTTGACCCCCCCCTCCTCTCTGTGGCAGCCCCTCAAATATTGGAACACTGCTATCATGTCTCCCCTGGTTCTTCTCTTCACTAGACTACTCATGCCTAGCTCCTGTACCCGTTCTTCATATGTCTCCAGTCCCAATCATCCTGGTTGCTTTTCTCTGCACTTTTTCTAGAGGCTCAACATCTTTTTTTATAGCGTGGTAACCAAAACTGGATGCAGTACTCTAGGTGTGATCTTACTAAGGCTTTATTATGGTATTAGTACCTCACTTGATCTTGATTGTATCCCTCTGTTAATACAACTTAGGATTGCATTGGCTTTTTTGGCTGCCGCTGCACACTGCTGCCTCATATTTAGCTGATTGTCCACTAAGACTCCAAGATCCCTCTCATAGTTACTGCTGTCAAGCCTGGTTTCACCCAGTCTATATATTCACTTTTGGTTTTTCTTGCCTAAGTGTAGGAATTTACATTTCTCTACATTGAATTTCATTCTCTACATTGTGGATAGGGCCCAGTGTTCAAGTCTGTCAAGATCCATCTGGATTTTGAGTCTATCTTTTATGATGTTAGCTATACCTGCCAGCTTAGTATCATCTGCAAATTTGGCAAGTTCCCCTTCTATTCCCTCATCTAAGTCATTTATGAAGATATTGAAGAGTACTAGGTCTAAGATGCAACCTTGTGGTACCCCATTACTTACTTCTCTCCATATAGACTTAGACCATTTAGGACTACTCGTTAAGCATGGTTTGTCAGCCAATGGCGAATTCATCTGGTGGTGATGATATCTATCCCACTTTTTTCTACTTTACCAAGAAGTAGGTTGTGGTCTACTTTGTCAAATGCCTTGCTGAAGTCTAAGTATATTATGTCCACAATATTTTGCTGGTCTACTAATTTAGTCACTATGTCGAAGAATGAAATAAGATTGGTTTGGCGTGATGTTTTTAACAAACCCGTGCTGACTGCTAGTTATTAGTTTACTTGTTTCTAAATGTTTTTTAATTATCTTTTCTGGTATCTTCCTGGGTATCGATGTTAGGCTGATTGGTCTGTAGTTTCCTGGGTCTGTTTTTCTCCTTTCTTACCTTTCCTCTGGGGCCTTCTGTAGTCTTGCCAATAAAGTTAACTATAGTCAATTTTGCTAAAAGACTGGTTCTTTTTATATACTTCCTCTTGGACTTCAAGGTCATTCACATATGTATCACCTCATTTTATGCTCACAACAAGTTAAGAAAGAGTACAGGTAGTCCTCAACTTACGACAATCGAGCCAAAATTTCCATTGCTAAGCAAGACAGTTGTTAATTTTGCCCCATTTTAAGACCTTTCTTGCCACAGTTGTTAAGTGAACCACTGCAGTTGCTAAGTTAGTAAGACGGTTGTTAAGGGAATGGGATTTCCCCATTGAGTTTGCTTGTCAGGTCTCAAAAGGCGTGACCCGACAAATGCACGCATCACAAAACCGCAGTGCTAAAACCGCGACATCATCAACGCGCCGACAACAGTGCAATTTAAGTTAAAGTAAGGGTTAGGGTCAGGGTCAGGTTTAGGGTTAGGATTAGGGTTAGGTTTAGAGCGCGCTTCTGTTAGTGTGCTGTTGTTGGCGCGCTTCAGCGCTCATTCATCGGCGTGGTTTAGAACTCGTGGTTTTGTCACCGCAGTTTAGTTGGGTATGCTTTTGTCGGGCGCCCTTTTGTCGGTGAACCCTCAAAAGGTGACCCCATGTCCCCGGGAACCTGCAACCGTCATAAATATAAGTCAGTTGCCAAGCGCCTGAATTTTGATCATGCGACCCTGGGGATGCTGCAATGGTGGTAAGTGTGAAAGTCACTTTTTTCAGTGCCATTGTAATTTAGAACAGTCACTAAATGAACTGTTGCATGTCGAGGGTTATCTATAGTCCAAAGTTATCATACATTTACATGGATTTCCTGGTCAATGCCCTGAACTCTTGGAAGAGAAACCAGTCTTTGCACCTGAAGCTTCCTGATTATTTTCTTCTCTTCAAAGTAATTTTCTCTGAGGTTTTGATGTTAAGCACCTACCAACATTAATATGGGGTGGAGATTTGTATTATACATTTCCTGCACTATTTAAGGTTTCATATTATTTATTGTATTTAGTATTTTATATAACTTTGTAGTGTATCCCGAGAACTCTGGTAATCTGGCTGGATCAAAAGTGCGATAATAATAAAAGTAATATATTTTTTCACCTATTCTAGCAACAAACTTATTACAATGAATTCCAGCATCTACATGGAATAAAATGGGTTGATATGCAATTTTATTTATGAATCAAGAAGCCTAAGAGTCTTTGGGTTTCCCAAATGAATGATGGACAAGCGAAAAAATTGCCTGTAAATAACATAATGCAAAAATAAGACAGTCTACGTCCTGTCTCCAAAATACAGGAGAAATAAACAGAATTGGCAAAAGACGACCTTCAAATGTCTAAGGTATAATTTTACATGTATCTAAGTTCCTTCTTATTTGTTTTTTCCAATGGCTTAGATATTAACAATAATAGCAATTTCTTCCTTTATGGGAAGAAATTATCTATATGAATTCAATAATAACTAAATAAATATAGCTCTTTTTGTTCAGTTTTTCTGCTGGGTAATGGTGCCATCTGCTGGATCTAGTAGATATTAGAACAAAACTTAAAAGTTTATTTTTTAAAAAAATAATTTTTATTAAACATTTTAACGTTTAAAAACAAGAAAAAAATACAGAAAAAACAAGACACACATAACAGTATAAAATAGTTTTACAGCCTTCTGTATCGGCTTACATATTTAGCTTTTATAGTTCTCTATTCCACATTGCCTTCCTATCAGTTTTAACATCTGTAATAGTGTAATAACAGTTGTACTCACAGTTGTAACAATAATAATTTGTTCATATCACCATTATATTTACATTATGGTCAATACAGTAATTAGTAACTTTGGTTAATTTTTATTCAATACTAATTTAGAAAAAGCAAAAAAAAAAGACTTCTATTTCCTGTTTTGGCTTCTGTTTTCTAACCACATATACATTCTATTCCATATTTTATAATTATCTGATTCTTCTCTTTCTTTTAACTCCATGGTCATTTTGTCCATCTCTGCACATTCGAGTACCTTTCTAATTATTGTTTCGTCTGTGAGTGTCTTGATTTGTTTCCAGTTTTGTGCGAAAGCAATCCTAGCTACAGTAGTATTATGTATTGATATTTTTTGTCTGTTTTCGAGTCTAATATTCCTAATAAGAACGATTCCGGTTTCAGTTCTATCTTTTGCTCCGTAATTTCTTCCACCCGTTTCTGAATTTTACACTAGTATTTCCTTGTGGTGGAGCACGTTCACCACATATGGTAGAATGTTACAGATTTGTGGCTACATCTCCAACGTTTGGGAGATAGATTTGGATACATTTTGGCCAATCTCGCTGGGGGCAAATGAAATTACATCTATTTTATAGAGGTTTTCTTTGTAGGCTACTGCCATTGTAAATTTATAATTTCTTTCCCATAGTTTTTCCCATTTTTCTAACTCTGTATTATGACCAAAGTTTCTGGCCCAGCTAATCATTGTCTCCTTTACTGTCTCTTCCTCCATTCCTTTTTGAAATCTTGTTTTGATTTGTAAATAGGGCCACCATTCCATATTTATTCCTTGTGTTTTCAGATATTGTACTGATTTTAGTTCTCCTTTTTCATCCAATTTTATCTTTTTCATTCTGCATAACTCACCATTTTACTGAGATCTTTGGTATTTGGATATGTCATTGTTTCCATTGTTGATAAGCACATTGGGGTTTTCATATTATGGTTCTTTTTTATTTTTTTCCCAGACATTAAACAGGACATCCCTTACTATGTGTCTCTGGAAGTATGAATGAGATTTATTCTTTCCCTCCCAGAGGAAGCTATGCCAACCAAGTTGGAGATCATGGCCTTCTAGCATAAGAATCCTTTTATTTTTTAGTTGGATCTAATCCTTGAGCCATGTCAAGGCTGCTGCCCGATAATAAAGCTCCCAGTCTGGGAGGCTGAAACCATCTTTGTTTCTACTATCTTGTAGAAGTTTGTATTTAATACGTGGTTTCTTCCCTGAACAGGTAAATCTGGATACCATTTTATTTAGTTGTTCAAAATAAAATTTCTCTAATTTAATGGGTATTGTTTGAAAAAGGTAAATTAGTTTGCGTAGTATATTCATTTTGATTGTTGAGATTCTGCCAATTAGTGATATCTGTAGTTTAGTCCAATTGTCCAGATCTTTTTGTATTTGTTGTAACAGTTTATTATAATTGTCTTCTTTTATCGTAGTCCATTTTGCCAATAACCATAATAATTTAGAAGTTTTATTGACAGAAAAAGCACCACCCTTGCTCCAGGCAAGTTCTTGTAATTTTAATTGTTCTTATGTTTATAATTTTTTTATATTTCTATTTTTATTGCATTGTAAGCTGCCCAGAGTCACTATAGCTAGCAAGATGGATGGCCTATAAATTTAATTAATAAACCTCCCTATATGTTACACAAATGTATTTTCTACCAATTGTGTTCCACATTGGAATGGTACCTAGCAAATACTATAAGTATGCTGAGGACATAAAATTCCATGTCATTTATTTGTTGTCTTTATATATTCCATAAATTCTGGTCCAGATGTTATCCTTCTCTCCCTCTATGCCAATGGGGGTTGGGGGGTACTGTGGGGATAAAAAATACCTTTACTTTAAGGATCCCAACAAACCCATAAGCCTTCATATTAGACAAATCTACAGTACACACAAGGACTCCTGGCTGTAGAAAATGGCATTATATTTATGAAGACCAGTCTGTTCTGACCTGGGCTTCCCAAGAGCATGAAGCAAACTCCTTGTCCTGACAAAAGTCCCTTTTATTAATTTACTGTGAATTCTGCTCATTCACATCCAGCAAAGTCTTTCAAGGGAGGATTTGCAGTCACAGACCTTATCTGACTTGGAGAGCTGCAGGGCCAATATCTGCAAAACTTGGCAAGGAGTCTCGGAGTCACAAACCAATTAAGAGAACTAATTGTCTCCTGCAAATTCCACTCTTCGCTCCTCTTTTATTTCTTCTGGGAGGGGGTATTCATTGCCCAACTGTGGTCTTACTCCCAAGTCAACTCCTGTTCTTTAGCTGTTCCCTTCATCTGGCAACTCTGTGCATGCACACACTGGGAACAGGCTCCAGCTGTTCGTCTGCCCCACTGATGTCTGACTCTGAAGGCAGATGATAACTGGCATACAGCTCTGTCTCACTCTCTGCCTGCAACACAAAGCCCTCATCAGAGCCTCCCTCAGACTCCAGGAGTGGCCCATGTTCCTCCCCAAACTCCTCACTATTCAAATCTGTTGCCAGCTCTGCTGGCCAGTGGCAGGCCACAGTCTGCATTGACAACTCTAGTGAAACTGTAAAGAACAAGAGGGCTGCTTATCACAGCTCACATGGTAACTTCCATATGTGTTTATATAGCCCAAACAGAACCAGAGGAGACACACAATCCAAGCAAGGATCTCTTGTTGGTTCACTTGATATGTATTAAATTTCCACGCTGATGCAGCTTCTGAAAGCCACTAAACATTTCTTTGAAATGCAGAGTAGAACAAAAAAGACTTATTTTTCTCTTTCTGGTTTCTCAGACAGCTGCATATCAAAATGAGGGCTGCTTTTCAAACTACATTTCAATTAGCTCAGGATTCTGATTCTTTCAACAAAAGTAACATTAGCATTTCTATTGCACCTTTGTATGCTTTCTCCTTAAAACATGTTCTCATTTCTCTAAGGACATTCAAAATTATGATACCTCTTATTTTGTACCTAAAGTCTTTTAGGCAGGCTCAGTAAGTTCGAATTAAGAGTCAGATCTGAAACCTGGAAGCTCCTTGTCTATTGCTTCAAGTCCACATTATGATGTGATAGATAAATAACCTATTTTGCATGCATACGTACTCAGGAGGCCCATGCAAAGACTCATAAGGGCTTGCTGCTTCGAATGAGGCCTCTCCAATACAATTCCACAGAGCAGTGCAACCCCTCCTTCTAGACCAGGGGTGTCAAATTCAAGGCCCACAGACTGGATCCAGCCTGTGAGGTGTTTAGATCTGGCCTGCTGGGCTGCCCTGGAAATAATGAAGGACCAGCCTGCAGCCCCTCTGCCAGCAAAAAAGGAACTCAGGAGGGCTCCCTTTTTGACTGCAACAGCCTCTTGCAGCCATCTGCCAGCCCTCCCAAGCTCTGTTTTTGCTGACAGGAAGATCCACCCAGCCTTGCCCAGGCCACCATAGGTGCCCCCCAACACAAGTGATGTAGAGCTGGCCACACCCACTCAGGCCCCCGAGGTCAAACACAACCCTGATGCAGCCCTCAATGAAATCGAGTTTGACACCCCTATTCTAGACAATATGTTCCCAAGCTTCTGCACATTCACAGAAGACAGCGATGCTGCAAAGTAGCCAGGTGAAGCGGCCCACTTCAGGGCTTTCAACTGGAACCAACAAGACCAGGTGTTTTTATTTTTCAATGAGGCATCACTCCAGAGCAGACTGCTTCAGTGATTGGGGATGAAGCAGCTGCACACACTGAAAGTAATACATTGCCTCATCTAGCAATAGTAGTCAATATGCAGAAGTAGGAAACCCACCTTGTTTTATGTCCACAAAAGAGACCTTAAAACAAGATAGATCCACAACATCAGCAAGTATTGTGGGCCCAATTTGCAAAAGAAAGCTCAGGACCATATTGGTTGGAAACGTGGAAGAGGCCTTCATCCTTCATTGGAAGAATGATGATGATGTAGCAATAGCACTTAGACTTATAGACCGCCATAGTGCTTTATAGCACTCTGAGTGCTAATTCAGCACATTGCCCTGACAATCTAGGTCCTCATTTTACCGATCTCGGAGGCATGAAAGAATGAGTCAATCATGAGCCACTCAGGATCAAACTCCTGGCTGTGGGTGGAGTCAGCCTGCAATATTATTGCATTCTAATTACTGCACTATCACAGCTCCATGTAAATGTTATTCCAATATCTGAACACATGCATGCATATGTTGAGGATCGAAGAAGTAACTTGAAGAAGAGGAGGAAAAGCCACAAGCAAGATCAGATGAAGGAAATCTGAGTCCTTCGAGGAAGCACCTGAGTCAGGAGCCTCCCTACTTCTCGCAAAGATAAAGGGAGGGAAGGGGAACGTATATTCAGAAGGTATATCTCTTATATGATTTTGCTGCTGTAACTTTATAATGAAAGCAGGGTGGATAAAAATCTGATTTTAAAAAAAAAATATCTGATTTTTTTAAAAATTTAAATAGGATTTTCTAAATTTTGATTTCAAATTTTATTTCAAATTTATTTCAATAAAATGCTTTTGGAGTAAAAAAAATATACCTAAAGATAGTTTTCTATTTAAGATACATTAATATTTTAGTTTATTCAGCATGAAATGGAGCTTTGTTATGTAGCATGAGTCATATTTGGTAAACTCATTCAATGAATCCAAGCTCTGCAAGCTAAATAGGAAACCTTCATTTTGCTTGCAAATAATATTAATAAAGATTAATATTGATATTAATAATATTATAAAGATTCTAACTACCAGCAAGAATGAGTCCTTACTTTTAAAGAGCACCTGTCATTTCAGACCCATTATGGCAGCTCCTGTTAGTGGGCATCCACTCACCTGCTGCCTGCCACGCCCCTCACCTTGCTGCGTCACTGCCGCATCGCCAGCCGTCCCATTAAAGTGTGAGTCAACAGCGGGTCAGAGGAGCCACTGCTGCGGGGCAGAGATGACTGTTGCTATTTAAAAATTGTGATTTAAATCTAGCTGATTTAAACCAAGCCTTTTTAACAGTGATTTAAATCATGATTTAAATCAACTTGATTTAATTCAAAACCACCCTGAATAAAAGTAAAATTAGCACCATGACCTTGGTTTCCTAGTCTCAGTCTATCTTAAAGATTTGGCATCACGTAGGACAGTGAAGTCTGGCCTTTTTGTCATCATGTGTCGAAAGTGCGTCACCGTGCATGCGCCCGCACCCATAATGTAATGCATGCATGACACATCCATCCCCTAGTGCATGCACATGCAGCACTCACTGCTCCCTCCCCAAATAAAGTGCAAATAAAAAAAGAAGTACACTAACTCACGTACATAGTTGTTCCCGTGCCGGAACAAGAAGAACACCTCTGATTACTGAGCTGGGATCCTGTTCCATTGCAGACCCAACATTGCTTCTGTTGACATATAACATCAAATGGAAGAGCATCAAATCAACTGGATTTCCACCAACACATTGATTAGTCAAAAAGCAGACCTCTGGGCTCCTCTTTAAAAAACAAAAACAAAACAGCTCTCTATAACGAGTGGCTGTAAGATTGGGTAGGATTGTGAAAGTGACTAGGGAGATGCCTCATTATGAAATTCCTTCCTCTACACATTCTTCTTCCATGGAAACTGTCATCACTTTGTAAGGATCCACTCTCCACGGTTGACAGAATAAGAAATAAGATCTGCCAGTAATGAGGGGAGAGATGCCCAACCATCAGAGTCATCATTTTTTCTGTAAATAAATTCACACTGAAAGCTGTGCAGCTAGGTGATATTGACAACAGTGGCAACCCTTGTTAAAAAGCTCCTCTGTGTCTTCAGGAGGGACACAACATGCATCACTGCTTACAACAGAACCAGAAGTGTCATTGCATAAGACTGCGTGGCAGCTCCCTGGCATGACATTAAAAAAGCAGTGATTGGTTATTTCTTGTAACTAAAATATGACTATCGCCAACTACAGGAAAAGCTATGAATTCCTATATAGAGGATATGTTGTGATGGTCTGTGTAAGGTAGTCGACTGAAACATTTTCGGCAAAGTGTCTATGGAGATTCTCACTCATCCAGGTCATGATTGTCCCAAAGGTGCTTTTTTTCAAGAAGCAACTGAATTTTCTGTTTTTTCTTTGAAGATATTTTGCTTTTCATCCAAGAAGCTTCTTCAACTCTGATGGATGGTGGGGAATGGAAGGATTTATAGCCTTTGCAAACAGCTGGCCGTTTGCATTTTTTAGAAAGCAGGGTCAAAGAGGCCATCTATGTCGAAATTGAACCGCCCTTTCTCAACAGAGAGAGAGGGAACTAACATCATCTATTTCCAGTCTACAACACAATCATTTCAACAGTTCCAAGAAGGCTCCATACACATTTGCACCACTCAGATGACCCTGATGACAGAGATAAACCTCCACAAAGCTTTAACAACTCTCTAAAAAAAACAAAAATGACTGTCTGTCTGCAAGGAGTATAAATCCTTCCATTTCCCACCATCCAGTCAGAGCTGAAGAAACTTCTTGGATGTGAAGCGAAATGTACAGTTGCCTCTTGAAAAAGCACTTTTGAGATTTTCCACAAAAGATCTATTGAAGTAATTACTGTTAAATCGGCGGAAGGTGTGCCTGGCTGCTGCCAAGCTGTCATTCGTAAGTCCAAGGACTTACGAGGCTATTACAATTACCACTAGATGGCAAAAAGTTAAAAGAGTCTTAACTGCAAAAGAATGGACACCTGGATTTTTGCAGCTGAGATAAAGCTGCTGCTAAGTCTTCTTGCAGATGGAGTTCAAGAAAGAGGTTCGGTGAGTATGTGTCAGGGTTCCAGGTAATAATCCCATATCAAGCAAAGCTCCAAGGCAGGTGAAATCCTCAAGGAATAGGTGTGAGAACGTCCTTGGTTCCCAAGAGAAAGTATTTTATTTTGACTACACAAAAATACACAGACTACACAGCTATCTCCAAAATCCCTATCCCCATCCCTCAGCTCCAGTGTGGCAACACTGAAGCTCCAAGGTGGCTCCAGTCACGTCAGCTTCAGGGTTGACAGCTGAAACACATCCAACTGTGAGGTGCTCTTGAGTTCATTGCTCCTTATTTCTCAAAATGGCTGGCTGGCCAGTCAACCTATTACTGAGCACTAGGTAGTCAATAGAGGAGTCTGAGGAAACGTTTTTCTGATCCGTGTGTCAAATTACAGCAAATCACAGTTGCCATCATCTCAAAGGGAAGGAGAAGCAAAATGTGGTTCCATGTTGAAGCCATTTCTGTGCCAAATTTAATTCTATGGTAGAATGTTCTTTTCTAAAAAGAGGGGCATTCCCTGCCCTATGCACTACAGAAATATAAGACCCCAGTCCTTTCAATTACAATTTCAGTCAATTTCAGAAGCTTGTGACTGTGGGAATGTGTGGCTATGGAAGCTGGGTTTGCGATCTTCCTCCCAATCAAAACAGCACTTTACAAAGGGGACAGAACTCCTGGGCCAATTGTAATAAAGCAGATGTTTACCCTAACCAGCTGACCTTGAACTTCCTCCATGTACCATGGACTCTCCAAGTGGGAGCGGTTCTTCCATTTCCTTTGAAAAACACTCTTCCCTCCATGCTGGAATGCCTTGAATAGGCTTCAGTCTGCTTCCCCAGGAGATTATCAGTGAGATGGAGGCTTTGTTTGGGAGGGGATATCCTCAAATAATGGTAAGTAGGGCTGGATGAATGACCCATCAGAAATCCAATAAAACCTCTTTCTGCTAGCAGTCTTTTCAACCTGCTAGCAGAAAGAAGGTTCAACCATAATATTTTCAATAGCAATGCTGCTAGCTTTTTAACATTTATATCAACCCAATTTGCAAACTGCTCTGAGAATGTCAACTTTTTTATCTTTTCTTTTTTTAAAAAAAAACTTTTCTTCAGGGGACAAACTCTTCCACACGAAGCAAGACATGCCTCTGATTTAGAAGTACATACCTACTTGCAAATCAAAGCTAAACACAATAACGATACTAAATTATACAAATGGAACCACACGAATTAGACAAAATAATCCATCTTTCTTTCCAGAAAGAAAGATGATAGGGAGAATATATAAATTTCTTCTGAAGTATAAAATGGAAAAAGAAATTGTGAAAGAACAAATGTTAAAATGGGCACAGAACTTTGGCTACAATATTGAATTAGATAAATGGGAAAAATTTGGGGGGGACAAATTTAAACATGACACTATTGGTTGCATACAAGGAAAACCAGTACAAAATGTTTTACAGATGGCACTTAGCACCAGCAAGGTTAGCAAAAATCTCGGTAAATATTTCACCAAAATGTTGGAAATGTGAATTAACACAGGGAACGTATTATCACATATGGTGGACGTGTTGGAAAAGGATTACAACTTGGCTAGAATCAATAACAGGAGTCAAAATAGATTGGAAACCTGAAGTTTTTTTACTAGGAATAATGACAATGAAATATAAAAAAGAAATCGAGTATTTAATTTTACACATAATTATAGCGGCGAGGATTGCCTTTGCT